AGTCCTACCCCACATGCTTATTATTCCTACCCGGACATGATCTCTATCCTGCATGCTAATTTCAAACAAATCCTAACCGCATATTTGTCTAGTTCGCATGCTTGGAGCAGAAAATATAGCAGGAAATAAAAATAGCCTAGAGTTTGGAATGAGGTTTTGGGGTGGGCTCTAATTCCATGTACTCTCCCGGTTTAGGTTCTAAAAAAGGTACTCGAGTTCTCCTTGCTGGTGCCCCCTTGGGCTTACCAGACCCTTAGTCCTAAGCCCATCACAGGCTTGTGTGGACTAAGTTAAACTCGAGAGGAAACATTCCCTTATGCCCGCACGGTGAATAAATTCACACGAAGACATAAGGTATATGAATCCCGAAGGCTACTTGCTAGGCCCGCACGGTGAATAAATTCACACGAAGGCGTCGCTTTCACCCCTACTTAAATAGGGTTCGGAGCTCGGGTATAGAGTCTTAAATGGAAAACTTTAAAAATCTGAAATCATTGTAAAAATGTCAGTACAACTATTTATTTGAAAAAAATAATCAAAGGTAATTAATTGGAATCGAATAAATAAATTAAAATTTTAAATTTACCATTTTCGCATAAAAAGACAACCGAAAATTAATTCTGGCCTGACTCACTTACTTGTTCCCAGTGGAGTCGCCAAGCTATCGCGACCATCTTTCGGTTGGGCCCCAGAATTTGGGCTTCGACTTAGAAAAAAATGATTTGGAGTCGCCACCGTCCACTTTAAAATGAACTTAGGTGGGTCGGACACCATCTTACCTGATATGCGTTGTACCAGAAACGTGTCGGGTTCGGGAGTCGGTTATGATCAAGGAAGGATTATCACCCTTGAATCGCCATTTCGGTACAAATTAATTTATCGATTGTCTTTAATTACAAAAATTGGAATTTAAATTAAAATTTAAATTATTCGATCCGAATCACTTACCCTTTGATCGGTTGAAATTACGACTGAAACAAAATATGTTAGATAAAAAACAAAAAATAAACACGAAAACAAAATGTTAATATGATAATAAAAGATAGATAAAAAAGATAATAGAGATGAAAGAAAAATATTTTAAAAAAATACAAAAAAATAATAACAAAAGGTTAAGTTTAAAAAAAATATTTAAAAGTAAAAAAAAATCCTTAGGACCAAATTGGAACAAATTGAGCTTAATGGATTAGAAAATTAACTGCAAAAGAACAAATAAAAAGTTAGGGGACCAATTCACAAAATGTAAAAAATATAAGCAATGACCAAATTGATTAAATTAGAAATATGGAGGCAAATTTACAGATGGTGACCAAATTGAATTGCGACTCAAACGTTCAAGGACTGCGGAAAGGATTTAAAAATCCTTTATTTGCACTATGGTCCCTCGTATATAAATGCCCAAATGAGCCCCATTACACTTCATTTCTCTCATTTTCTCAGAAGCATCATCTCTCTCAAACGAGAGACACTCTCCACCCAGGCGATTCCCGACCACCGTCAGACGCCGCCGCCGGCCACCGCTGGAAAACAAAAATACCCCAAAGCTTCCTCTCAACCTCTCCAACCCAAAACCGAAGCCCAAACACCCAAATAATGCCCCCACCGACGTAGATCTAGGAAACAAACTTCGGGTTTTTTACCTTTTTCCGACGACTTTACCGCTTCTGATGACTCTTGCTTTTTCGTTTTGCATTGGCTTTTGGGCTTGCTCTTGTTGTATACTGCTTTGCACTTTGTGATATTTGCGGGGCTTCGGCCTTTGGTTATTTTGGTTATGCTTTGCTTCGTGGTTCGGCTCGATGATATTGTTTACTGTGGGTTTTGTATGTATTTGGTACTGTCTCGTTCTTTGTTGTTGGTCGATGATTCTTTTGTCTTTGTGATGGTTGTTTCACTGTTGGTTTCTGTGATTCCTTTCGACCCCATGGGTCTCGATTTTGGGTACCTCCGATGATACTTCCTCTCCGTGGGTTCTCTGTTTGCTCTCGTGGTTACGGTGGCTCTCCTCTTTCTGTTCGGTGATCCCCCCATATTGGTCTCACCGGGGGCTTTTATAGCCTCGATGGTAGTTTCTTGGTCCCGAAATAAGGGCGCTCGTGGCCGTTGTGGCAGTCACCCCAGGATGGGTCAGTCCCGGGGATCTCGGCCTGCCGTTGGCACTGTTGACCGTTTGGCTCCCTGATTTTACGACGTGATGAGGGTTGAATGAAACCCTATTCTTTTGCAACCTTGGTCTTTAATTTTCATCTTAATCCAACGGCTAAGAACTGTGCGGCGCTGAACTTTGAGGAAACCCTAACTTACTATTGGGCTCATTATCGAACCTGAAATGAATAAATAATAAAAATAATAAATAAATAATAAAAATGAAATTAAAAAAATATAAATATATATACTATATATGTTTTAAAAAAAATTAAAATCATATAATATACTTTCAAATAATATTTTAAAATTATATATTATATATATTTTTAAAAATGTTTTCAAAATCCTATATTATATAGTTTTCAAAATGTTTTAAAAACTATACATTATACATTTTTCAAAATGTTTTTAAAAACCATATATTATATATATTTTAAAAATGTTTTTAAAAAATCATATTATATATATTTCAAAATGTTTTTTAAACTATATAATATATATGTTTTTTTAAAATATTTTTTAAAACCATATATTATATATATTTTCAAAAATATTTTCAAAAACTATACACTTTTAAAAATATTTTCAAAAAACTATATTATATATTTTTTAAAAATCATTTTCAAGGAAAAAAAAGAAAAATATTAAAAAAAAATCCAAACAAAAAATGAGTGTCTACAATATCTTATGTATTTTGAAATCAATTACCAAAGATGAACAAAACAAAAATATCAGTGACCATCCATGTAATTAACCCTTAAATTTATTTATGACTCGAGCCGAATTAAGCTTGATTAAAATAATTTTGAATCTGGTAGTGAACCTAAACCGTCCAATGGTCTATTTCATTGTTTTGAAAAGTATATATATAAATATATATATATATATATATATATATATATATATATATATTAAGATTTGTATATTTATACAACTACTATCGATAAAATTATATTTTTTAAATTAATTAAACACTATTCAGATCAAATCATGATAATCTTTATCTAAATAAATTGAATTGAACAAGTCACTCAACCTATAAAAAATCTAATTATCGTATGGAGCATGAAAATTAATTTTATATAATTTTATTAGGTTATTTTTAAAAACATTTAATGTTTATCTTATAAATTTTAAAAATTAAGAATCTAAAAAAATATTTTAAAATTATTTAGCGATTTTTTTAAAAAAAAATTAATCAAGTTAAAATTGAGTTGGATGCAGCCTATTAATGGCACCGATATTTAAGATATTTAGAAACCTAGAAACAGAAATATGGCTTTACAGTGAGAGGGGGCGCATTATTTCCGTCACGAAAACCGAAAACCGGAACCCCAAATCGATCCAAATAAGTAGTACTCAACAACCGATCCCTCCTCGCTTTACCATCTCCTTTCAGGTGACTTCCTCTTCCCTTTTCTCTCATTTTTGCCTTTTTGTTTTCCCATTGCCTGCATTTTGTATTCGGCGTTTGATTTCGATCATCGCAAATCATTTATCGATTCAGCTTTCAGTCGGATTTTGCAATTTCGTCTTCGAATTTGAAAAAAAAACGCTTCGATTTTTTTTAAAAAATCATTTGATAATTAATGAATGGCGAGGACGATTATCGTTCGCTTGGTTGGTTGCTGAGTTCAACCAGCCGAGTCGCGGTCGCGTTGATTAGTATCCGACCACCCGATACGACGGCCGTTGTGCCGGTTTTCACTTTTACGGGTATTTTATTTCTTCTAGTAGGTTGAATTTTGACCGCTTTACGTTACGTCCAATGATCCAAAAGATTCTTTGTTTTTGGGGCACTTGCTTACGATTAAGTTGACGTTACTATATTACCCCTAGCCTAACAGTTTATTCCTCTTCTACCCTTCCCAGAAAAGGGGAGAAATAAATCTAGGTAAACCCCATTCCCGTTCTTTAGGTGGCGTCTAAAGAACAAGAACAGGGAATCAGCAGGGCAAATTGGTCATTTAGTATTTTCTATGGCTTATATTTTTTATATTTATTTTAAATTTAATAAAAAATAAATGCCTAAAGAATGTATCGAAAAATGTTTTAGTGTTTAAAGATTTTTTTGTTAAAAATAATTATCTAAAATTTTTTTCGTTATAATTTTAGGTTAAGAGATACTTGTCAAGACGTCTAGAATTTTTTAAAAAGAAAATTTTATTTTTTTTAAAATCTAGACGTGACAAATTTCACTTAATATTTTTTAAACGATAGGAATTTAAAAGTGTAATCAATTTTTTTTTAGTAAAAAATACCAACAATTTAGCTTTGAATATGATTTAGACACTTACGCCTTTATTTTATATAAATTATTATTGGATACTTTTTCTCTATATCATTAAGTTTGTACACAGTGGATTTTTATCATTTTTTTTTCAACTTGATTTACTATTGTTTAAAATTTATTATTGATAAAAATATATCTTAAAAACTTTCAATTAAGTAGTTTTAAAATATATATTTTATAAAATTTAATTGTATAAAATATTTAAAATAATTATGATTAATTTTAACTTTTAAAAATAATAATATATCTAATTAGTGGCATAAAAATCAATAAATAATATTTTAATAATATTATTTTTAAAATTTGATAAAATATATCTAATGGTTGTTGAATTCCTACGTCATAGCTATCGATCTATCCCTGTTAAGCATGGCTAAAAAGACACGTGGCATTCAATAATTAGGTATATTTGATGTATGCTGATTTTGCAAAACATCTTAAGCACGCGCTTTTCTTTTATTTTAATTTAGTCTTAACATTGAATATATTCCTCTTTTAGTTTAACCTAATAATTTAATCACGTTGAATAATTTGTGGCCATCTTTTTATTGAATCGAATTTCTTTTTCTTGCAGTAGGGCTAAAACGCAAAGGAAGGTTCTTGGTCGGTGTTTGATAATTGATCGGGCTGTCAATTTTCTTTGACAGCCCGATTCTTTGTCTAACTCTTTTCCAAGGTGAGAAAATATAGCAAGGAATATACAGCTATAAAACATGGAATATGCTTATTTGCTTGGCATATGTTTATCGCTTGTTTCTTCACGTTCTCTATTTCTCCATTTGATTCAATCCCTCGGGTCATAACTGGGTTCTCTTTATTCTGCGCAGGTGTTCCTTGTTTTTAACCTTTTTATTGTGTTTAGGCTTTCTGGGTTTTTGAGTATTGAGCAGATTGAGTTTTGTTTTCCTACTTTTGGATTGGGTTTGCTAATGTTTGTTTAAGGACTGCTTCATATTGGTATTCGAGTTTCCGTTTTGGGTTTTCAATATGGGTTCCTTGTCTGGAATGATTCAACGTCCTCTAGCCGCCGCCTTCGCTGTTGCCATGGCTTCGGTCTCTGCCGATATTACTGTTAAGCGTCCATCTCCTTCATCGGATACTTGTTTAACCTCAGAACAAATTGAAACTCCCATATCTTATTCCTTACCAGAGGCCAAGTCCTCATTTGTGGGTCATATATCATCTTCCAAGCTTGCAAGCTTCTCTTTCGTTACTAGAATCCGAGTGCCTCTCCCTGATGCTAACTTTCCGGTTCCGAATTCGGGCCGGGATTTTGTTCCCAATGTCGATTGTTCTTCAATTGTATCATCTCCGCTGCTGGTTAATTTGTATCGGTCGGCTGAGTTATGTAAAGCATCAAAGCCTGTTGCATTTAAGCACAGTATCCCTGCCTCAGCTCCTGATGTTTTATACAGATGGCATTTGCCAGAGCCATCTGCCATTGATGTTAATGGAAATTCTGATTGTTCATCAGAAAAGTCTCGAACGGTTGTTGTGTTGTTAGGCTGGTTAGGATCAAAGCAGAAACATCTCAAGAGATATGCAGAGTGGTATACCTCCAGAGGCTATCATGTCATTACCTTCACCTTTCCAATGAGCGACATTATCAGTTACCAAGCTGGCGGAAAAGCCGAGCAGAATGTCGACATACTTGTTGATCACTTGGCTGATTGGTTAGAAGAGGAGTACGGGAAAAACCTTGTTTTTCACACTTTTAGCAATACCGGATGGTTAACGTGAGTTTTCACTCTTAAAGTGTTCGATACACATGCAAGCAAGATAACTATATGTCTTACATTCATGCATGTTCTGTTTATGCTAATTATCTGAACCAATTTTCTGGTCGGAATTGTTGCAGATATGGAGTTATTCTTGAGAAGTTTCAGAAGCAAGATCCTTATTTAATGGGGAGGATAAGAGGTTGCATTGTGGATTCGGCTCCCGTTGCAGCTCCTGACCCTCAGGTAAATGATACTCAAAGACATTTCACATTTGTAATTGACTTGATTAACTAACATTATGATGGAGGTTGTACATGATTCTTTATATATGAAAATGCAAAATTAGCTATGATCATTGACCGTTTTCCACCTGACTGTGATAAGTTTCTAGTGTCACTTTATTATGCTTTATATTTAGGTGGATATTCCCAAGTAAATGAACGTTGTACCTTTTTTTTTGTGTTTATGCATGTGATCTAGTATTGTAATACGTTAGATCTTTGGCTTCTGTTATGTAATCATTTCTTGTTCTCGTCTTTGTCTTTGTACTGGAGATGCTCATCCCTATCAGAGTTCTTTTTCCTTGTGATTTATTTTAGTATCAATGCACTTGAAATGCTTAATAACCTAAGCTTTTCAAAATTTCAGGTCTGGGCTTCAGGTTTCTCTGCAGCTTTTCTGAAGAAACACAGTGTTGCAACAAAAGGATTTCCGGTATCAAGTGAACCGGATTCAGGGACATCAGCCGGCGAAAAAGAAATCTCGGTACCCAAGCCTGCAGTAACAGAAGCTGCTTTGCTGGTTGTCCTGGAGAAGTTCTTTGGGGTGGTTTTGAATTTTCCTGGAGTTAACAGGTAAATCCCCTTGAAACCGGTCGCAAACGAATGAATGTTTGACCATTTCTAGTTACATAACTGATGTTCTTGTAAGAAACAAGCCTGCTATATACTTGCAATCCTAACTGTTTAACATCATCTTGCAGGAGGCTCTCCGATGTATTAGGCGTGTTGTCGTCCGGACAACCTACCTGTCCACAGTTATACATCTATAGCTCCGCGGATCAAGTCATCCCTGCCTATCACGTGGAATCATTTATCGAGAAGCAGAAGAGGTGCGGCCACGAGGTTCGGGCGTGCAACTTCGTGTCGACGCCGCATGTTGATCATTTTAGAAACGACCCAAAACTGTATACAAGCCAGCTCAGCCGGTTTTTGGAGGATTGTGTGCTTACTTGTTGCAAAGATTCTCAGGTACCATTGAAGCACTGACTACAACCATATTCATATACAGGTTTTTGAATCATTTAGGAGAAATAAATCAATTTTTCTGACATGAACTTGTATTTACATTACGACAAATTCATTCATAAAATTCTTCTGTTCAATACTGAAAGAATTTGCTTTGTAAAGACTAGATGGGCACCTATAATTCTTTCTTTTTATAATCTTGTGTTGTTCCTTGGATCTGATCATGCAATGTGTCTAAACCCTTGATTTTGTGCTGATTTATATTTTTCTAAAAAAAATTAGAACTTAAAAAATCAATCTATTAAATTTTAGAATTTAAGTTTTTTTTAATTTGAAACGATGAGAAGTATTAACCTGTCCCAAAACTAACTTCATTATATAATTATTGAAAAAGATTAAAACATTAGAAAGTTACTTTTAGACTAATTTTGTTGATTTTAAGTGAATTATGAATAAAACAATTTAAAATATTAAGCTTGTTATTATGAATGATAATTAATGATGATTAACGATTAATAAAATAATGACCGAAATTAATAATATATATTGAAAAAAAATAATGATCATGTCATCATTCTATTAATAATTTTGTCATAATAACAAAAAAAATAAACAACTAGACAAAAATTCAAGGATCAAAGTGGGGTTTATCCAAGTTTAAATAGGCTTAAGTATACAAAATGTGTCTAATATATACTAGTTTTTTCAGTTTAATGTTTAATTTTTATTTTATTTCAGTTTGGTGCCTAACATTTCATTCTATTATTTAAAATAGATCAAATCGGCCGTAAGTTTGACCGTTAAACTATTAAAAATGCCACATGATATGTTTTTAAATATTAAAAAATGATTTCTAAAAGTAAGAAATTAATTAAAATGAAAAAAATGATTTCTCCCCATTTCTTTTCCCCTTTCTCTTTCCCTCTCTTCACCAGTAAAGTCCCTAGTGAAATGTAAGTCAGTTTGCTAGAGCTGTAACAGTCTCATTTGCGACCCATCGTTCGTTTCAACTCATTTCCAAGCTTCCCTTTCGAGACCACCCAACAACACTCCCTTACTACTCATCAGGTTCTCCAAAAACAGAGAAGAAAACTATTTATTACACTATGATAAGGATCGGTTTGATGAGTTGAAGCAGCTTCAATTCCCGCCTTTGACTGTATTTTGTTTTCTATAGATTTTGGTTCTTGCAATGGGTTGATTTTTCTTGGGTTTGTTTTCCTTGATGGTATGATTTTTGTTTTCTGGAACCCTCCGATTCAAATGTATGTTTTTTTTGCTCCCTCCTAGCATGGGTTGCAGCACGCGCATGTAAATTTTAGGTTTGGGTTTGATTCCAAAACCAATGATTACAAGATACTTATTGTTAGGTTTGGCAAGGATGGAAATTTGATTCAACCTTATTTATTTTCAATGAATGAAAATTGTTGGAAAAAGATTGCTGCCATTGCTCCCAACTATGAATTTGAAGATGGATACTTCGATGAGATTCGTTAATGGAGCTGTTCATTAGGTAGGATATAAGAGAAGAAACAATGGTGGGTTTAGTAATAGGATTTTGGGGTTTGACCTTAAGTGCTAAGGTGTTTTTTGAGATAAGTTTGCAAACTGACCTTTATTTCACCAAGGACTTTACTGGTGAAGAGAGGGAAAGAGAAATGTGGAGAGAGGGAAAGAAATCATTTTTTCATTTTAATTATTTTTTTATTTTCAAAAATCAAATTTTTAATATTAAAAAATATGCGATGTGGCTTTTTTAATGGGTTAACGATCAAATTTAACGGTCTTTCACGGTTTGATCTATTTTGATTAACAGAATGAAATGTTAGACATCAAACTGAAACAAAAAAACTTTATGCACTAAACTGTAAAAAATGCATTGGTTAGGCATCTTTTGTATATTTAAGCCTTTAAAATATACTAATTTATTATGCAGATTGTAGTGCATTTGTTTTAATTACGGGAAATTCTAAGGAACGACAGATTAATATAAAACTAAAAAATGGCGCAACCGAAAATATGAAAAAACTTTAACAAAATAGGTTTAGCGGCACATAAAATGTTAACTTATTTGTAATATATTGAGTTGTAACTATTTTAAAATAACTTTAGATGGTGGAGCCGAAAAATATATCTTACAAGTTAAAAGCGGAATACAAAATGTTATAAAGCGGAACTGAAAAAACTATCAATGTAGTAACATAATAGGTTATACCTAAAATGTTATAAAAGTAAAAAAAAAAGTTATAAACTATAAATGTTATGAATATTATTAATATTTTAGGTTGTTCCTAAAATGTTCCTAAAGTTTAAGCTGATAGAGCATTGAATTTTCTCATGATAAGAAAATAAGTTAAAAACTGAAAATGTTATGAATATAAGAAATATGGTTGCACCTAAAAATGTCATGGTTTATTAAGAAATATGTTGCGATCTGTAATGTTAATATTTTTATTAATAAAATAGGTTGCACCCAAGAATATCATGGTTCATTAAGAAATATATTGAGATCTGGAATGTTAATTTTTTATTAATAAAACGTGTTGTGCCCAAGAATGTCATAGTTCACTAAGAAATAAGTTGCGACCTAGAATATTAGTATTTTTTAATAAAATGGATTGTGCCTAAAATATTACCACAATTTAAACTGATGGAGCATTTAATTTTCCCACGATAAGAAAATAAGTTAAAAACTGAAAATTTTATGAATATATATAAGAAATACGGTTGTGCCTACAAATGTCAAGGTTCACTAAGAAACATGTTGTGATCTGAAATGTTAGTATTTTTGTTAATAAAATGGGTTGTGCCCGAGAATGTTATGATTCACTAAGAAATAGGTTGCGATCTGGAATGCTAATATTTTTATTAATAAAATGAGCTACACCTAAAATGTTACCACAATTTAAGCTAATGGAGAGTTGAATTTCCCACAATAAGAAAATAAGTTAAAAACTGAAAATGTTATGAATATATATAAGAAATATGGTTGCGTCTAAAAATGTCATGGTTCACTAAGAAACAAGTTGTGATCTAGAATGTTAATATTTTTATTAATATAATGGATTGCGCCTAAAATGTTACCACAGTTTAATATGATGGACCATTGTATTTTCTCACAATAAGAAAATAAGTTAAAAACTGAAAATATTATGAATATATATAAAAAATACGATTATGCCTAAAAATGTCATGGATCACTAAGAAACCGGTTGCGATTTGGAATGTTAATATTTTTATTAATAAAAAGGGTTACACCCAAGAATATCATGATTCACTAAGAAATATGTTGCAATCTAAAATGTTAATATTTTTATTAATAAAATGGGTTACGCCCAAGATTGTCGTGGTTCACTAAGAAATAGGTTACAATATGTAATGTTAATATTTTATTAATAAAATAGGTTGTGCCCAAAAATAACATGGTTCACTTATAAATAGGTTACGATATAGAATGTTAATATTTTTATTAAAAAAATAGTTTGCACAAGAATGTTAACCTTAACATTCCAGATCGATTATTATTATTTGTTAACCTTAACATTATATGAGCTCAACTATTATAATTTGTTACCCTTAACATTAAACTTGTCTCTAAACCCTAAAACAATTTGAACAAGTGGCCATAAAATGATTTCAACCCGAGTGTTAAACACGAATAACAAAACTAAAAGTGACTTGAAATTATTTATTTATTTGAAGACACAATGACTCCAACTTTATACGATTTGATGTTAAAATTGTTTAAATTCAAATTATCTAAATTCAAAATAATTCACCTAAAATGACAAAAATAAAATAAAATAAAGATCGAATTAACCTAAATAAATAAATCTAAACCTGAAAATGATCTAAACTAAGAAGTGATCTAAAAGTAACTTGAAACAATCCAAATATGAAATAGTTTAAAATTATAATAAATCAAATCTAAAATAAATCAAGCAAATAACTTAGAACTTTTAAAATTCGAATCAATATGACCTAACTAGACCCGACATACCCCATTTAGTAAGTCTAATTACGAGAAATGTAGGTGATGAAACACTAGAATATCACACAACAATGTAAATGATGAGTATATGCTCTTTGTTCTACATAAAAGAAATATTGACACACTTGACTTGAGTATTAATAATACTCATGACTAGAATATCGATACTTAAAAAGAAATATCAATATTTATTCTCACCGATCAATACTTTTTAATGATTTAAATATTAATATTTGAAATCAGAAATTGATATTAAAATATATAAAAAATGTTAGAATAATATTTTGAGAGAGTGGAGCAAGTCTTGCATACACTCACGTAATTTTTTTATAAAATATCCATATTTTCGAATTTAAAAAAATAAAAAATAATATTTTAACTTTCGAATTTAAAAATATTAATATTTTAGAAAAATATATATACTTTCAAATTTAAATGCTTCAAGCTGCTGGAATCACACCTATTTAAGATTTGATATTTACAATCCTCATTGCAGTTTAAGGATTTCAACGATCTGAATGAAATTGAAGCTTACAGTGAGAATACAGTTTCAATGAACCAGTCGAACATGACAATGAAATTTGAACACTTATAGTTAAGCTGGTTCATGTGTTCATCTTGAAAAGATGATATTCATTCAATTATAATCAGAATTTTGATTATTTTAGAAAAATATGGGTTGTGATGGTCCTGTGTTTTATTTTTTTTATATTCATGAAATTAAGAAGGTTCATGATCGCGTGTAAATAAATAGTGTTGTGGCACGTAATTATGTGCAAATATACACAGTCAACCAAATAATATAGTAGTGAGTGAGTATTGTTTCCATAGAGATTGGAGAGATTTTAAAAATATGTTATAGCAAAGGGATGTCACTAGGTAAAAATATAAAAGGGTATGCACAGTGAGGGAATTTATGTCGTGGCAAGAAATGGTATGAACAAACGGAAAATTATGTCGTGGCAAGAAATTCTGTAAACACTGAAGCAAGTAAAGTAAATATATGCTACGACAAGAATTTATCTGAGCTCTGGAAATAGACTGATAACCTCACACAAACAAGCTTCTATG